TTAACAATATCAAAATTATTAGAAGCTGAATACTTCCGCGCTTTTAATTGACTTTGAGAAATTGGTATAAAACTATGATACGATCTAGTATTTTTAATTGTATTTATATTTATAAATCTTTCAGATAATAATATTTCAGCAGCTTCTACGTCCTGGCTCGATACAAAAAAAAAATTATACCAGAAATTTGATTAGAACAAAATTTGTACATTGCTTCTGGAGTTAATATATGATGATCTGTAGTTCGCTGTAAGCTTGCTCTTTTACGTTCCTTTTAATTGTACCGCCTGCTACATCACATGGACTTTTACCATGAGAAGTGGCAAAGAAATGCCACTCTGGCTGTAGTACAAAATCTGCTTCATGATGACATATATTAATAAAGTTTTTTTTTATTTTTGTATTGAGCAGCTGCTCCATCACTGAAGTAATAAATTTTCTTAAACTCCGGATAACTGTTTTTGATGTAATGAATAAAAAAAATTTGAAACGTGAAAAACGTTACTGTACTGTGAGTTAGATAATCACTCTTCTTTAAAGTAAATTACAAAGGGATGTAAAGTAGCTTGATTATTTGTCCAATGATAAGATTGTACTTCATCTTCTACCATGAATGAATAATTGTCAAATTATAAAGATAAGCTTACCTCTCTACACGCATACATAAAGATATATATAAGAATCCTATACGTAAGTCGAATTTTTTTTTCAAACTAGAAGCATCTAGTTATTTGGAAAGAAATAAAAAATTGAGTTGATTTTTGCTATAAAAAAACGACTCGCACATGTACTAAACATAAAAATAACAAAACAAGTGCGGTCATTTAAAGTTAAAGGTAAGAACAGTAGATTCTGAGAGTTTCAGATTTTTATCTGGCAGTCAACAGGTTCATTATATAACCTGAATAAATGAGGCTGAAGCTAGCAGACAAACTAGTAGCCAAACCACGCGGCGGTCCCTTTATGTTTTGATATTGTTATTCGGCAAAATCTTTGGTTTAGGTGGACTTTAGTATCACGAAAGTTTAGAAATAAATAAATAAATATTAGTGTATTTATTGAAAAAAAAAAATTAATTAATTCAAATTGAATTATTAGTAAAAATAAGATAATCTTACACAAAGATGGGGACGAAACAACCACATTTAAAATGCGATTATAAATAAAATTTTTATATCAAATATTCATTAGATTTTTATTAATTGATTAAACAAAAAAATATGGTCGAGCAATGTTTTAAAATATATTTTTTTGGTCTTTTTAGAGTCAGGAGTTTTGTCGTTAAACGACTATAAGAACAAAAAGACCAAAAAAACACATTTAGCACGAGATTACAAATACAATTTTTGTACCAATAATTAAGTACACCACTAGCTATAAAACAAATAAAAAATCATTAAAAGGCAAGGAATCCAAATATAGTTTTTAGATCATTAAAGTCAAGCGTTTCCGCGGATAAATATTACTCAATGAAACCAACAAAAACAATCATTTAACACGAGATTCTAAATACAATTTTTTTATCAAAGATTCAATAAACAAGTATCCATTACATTTTTTTTAGGTCTTTAAAAAATGTAAGATTCCGTGGATAAACCTTATTTTATCAAAATGAAAAAAACTAATATTTAGCACAAAAATCCAGGTATAATTTTTAGTATGCATGATTCAATACATTATTATAATTCAAAAAAATAATAAATCATTACATAGCAAGACCTGTAAATACGTTTTTTAGGTCTTTTGAAAAGCGCGGTTCCGCGGAAAAACCTTACTTTATCAAAAAGACAAAAACCAATATTTAGCACAAAAATCCAGGTACAATTTTTAGTATGAATGAGTCAATACATTGGTATAATTCAAAAAAATAATAAATCATTACATAGCAAGACCTCCACATACGTTTTTAGGTCTTTAAAATGGCGCGATTCCGCGGATAAACATAACTTTATCAAAATGATAAAAACCAATATTTAGCACGAAAATCCAGGTATAATTTTTAGTATGAATGATTCAATACATTGGTATAATTCACAAAAATAATAAATCATTAAATAGCAAGATCTCCACATATGTTTTTTAGGGCTTTAAAATGGCGCGATTTAATATACCTGGATTTTCGTGCTAAATATTGGTTTTTATTATTTTGATAGTTATGTTTATCCGCGGAATCGCGCCATTTTAAAGACCTAAAAAACGTATGTGGAGGTCTTGCTATGTAATGATTTATTATTTTTTTGAATTATACTAATGTATTGAATCATTCATACTAAAAATTGTACCTGAATTTTCGTGCTAAATATTGGTTTTTATTATTTTGATAAAGTTATGTTTATCCGCGGAATCGCTCCATTTTAAAGACCTAAAAAACGTATGTGGAGGTCTTGCTATGTAATGATTTAATATTTTTTTGAATTATACTAATATAGTGAATCATTCATACTAAAAATTGTACCTGGATTTTTGTGCTAAATATTGGTTTTTATTATTTTGATAAAGTTATGTTTATCCGCGGAATCGCGCCATTTTAAAGACCTAAAAAACGTATGTGGAGGTCTTGCTATGTAATGATTTATTATGTTTTTGAATTATAATAATGTAGTGAATCATTCATACTAAAAATTGTACCTGGATTTTCGTGCTAAATATTGGTTTTTATTATTTTGATAAAGTTATGTTTATCCGCGGAATCGCGCCATTTTAAAGATCTAAAAAACATATGTGGAGGTCTTGCTATGTAATGATTTATTATTTTTTTGGATTATACTAATGTAGTGAATCATTCATACTAAAAATTGTACCTGGATTTACGTGCTAAATATTAGTTTTTGTCATTTTGATAAAATAAGGTTTATCCACGGAATCTTACATTTTTTAAAGACCTAAAAAATGTATTTAGAGATCTTGCTATTTGATAATTTATTATTTTTTTTATTGATACTTGTTTATTGAATCTTTGGTAAAAAAAAATTGTATTTAGAATCTCGTGTTAAATGATTGTTTTTGTTGGTTTCATTGAGTAATATTTATCCGCGGAAACGCTTGACTTTAATGATCTAAAAACTATATTTAGATGCCTTGCTATTTAATGATATTTTATTTGTTTTGTAGCTAGTGGTGTACTAAATTATTGGTATAAAAAATGTATTTGTAATCTCGTGCTAAATGTGTTTTTTTGGTCTTTTTGTTCTTATAGTCGTTTAACGACAAAACACCTGACTTTAAAAAGACCAAAAAAATATATTTTAAAACATTGCTCGACCATAATTTTTTGTTTAATCAATTAATAAAAATCTAATGAATATTTGATATAAAAATTATATTTATAATCGCATTTTAAATGTGGTTGTTTCGTCCCCGTCTTTGTGTAAGATTATCTTATTTTTACTAATAATTCAAATTGAATTAATCAATTTTTTTTTTTTTTTTTTTCAATAAATACACTAATATTTATTTCTAAACTTTCATGATACTAAAGTCCACCTAAACCAAAGATTTTGCCGAATAACAATATCAAAACATAAAGGGACCGCCGCGCGGTTTGTCTGCTAGTTCAGCCTCATCCTGAATAATGCAATTTTTGAAAATTTCAAAACTTCAAGCAAAGTTTTTTTCTGCAAAGAGTGGGCTGCTCAGGTTGACTTGTGGCTGTATTTTATCTATGATATATACACTTAATTTCTGAGGAACATAAGCTGCTAAGTCTAAGCAGTTAAGATGCTAGAGTCGATTGAAATTCACGAAAAATTATAAAAAAAAAACACTCATTTTTAGCACGCTGCCGTTAATCAGAGGTATTGACTGAGCAAATTATCGATGCTTACACTTAAACTACTATCTTTCCCCCTCAGAATTCCGCTTTAATAATGTAGTTATTTTTAAAAAGAAAAATTTCAGAGGAAAAGTCGATAAGGCTTAAAAATATCGATTTTTTAAAGTCCATTTAAATAGGTGGAAAGGAGTGCTTATAAAAATCAAACTCGTGGGAGTGCTTATAAAAATCAAACTCGTGTAAATGTTCTTCTTTGGGACCCTAAGGAATAGTTCCTCAAAGTTACACCAAAATCTAAAATGAATCGGCAACAATTTTTTTTATTTTCAGATGATTTTGTATTGAATGACTTGAATGAGATTTGCTTGTGCTGATGCTTCTCTTTCTATAGTTCTTCATGGTACGAACATTTATGAAGTCCATCATGTTTAACAGAGTATACTATAGAGAAAGTAAAAGTTGAAAAGTCTTTTGGTAGGTATAGAGGGGGTAAACGTCAAACCACGTCGGGCGGCTCCGAGAATTTCGCAGTAATGTTTACCTGCCAGTGTCGTTTCATAGAATAAGTAATTTTAAATTGTTATCGGCGGAACCGGACAATCACATGTATTTATGGATTATAAATAATTATTAAACATGTATTATAATATTCAAATCATAATTTTACAAAATTTTAACAGCTATTCACAATTTATTAAACTATTTACTCGAAATTGTTATTAACATCTATAAAATAATTTTGTACGCCAATGTATCGCATCCACTTCGGTGAAATCCGCTGCCAACCTGTCAATTTATGTGTATAAAGTGGGAGAACTGGCAAAAGCATTTCCAACTTTTACTTCTGTTCTAGCAACTACCATCAAGAAAAAAGGATGTTTTATAGCTACTTTAAAAATCATCAAGTTATAACTGACTAATTTAAGACAGATCTTATTTTTATTCAAATAAAAATAAGCCAGTACTGGAAAAATATAAGTAAATCCTTATATTTTAAGTAACTACTTGAAACCATAAGAGCTTACTTATGGCCATAAGTAATCTCTTTTACATGAAGTAGTCACTGACCTTTTATTCAATTTATACTGAGAAAATACTTAAATAAGAAGAAGTAGAAGCCAATACTTCTTTTTATTTAATAGACCCCAAGTATAAAATAGTGACAAAATAATAATTAGTGCAATTTTTACAGATAACCATAAATTATTGAAATAATAAAAAAAAATACCTTGAAATCTTGAGAAAGTAGTTTGTCAGCCTCATCTAGTACAAGAATTTTACACTGGTCCATAACAGCAACACCTTTTTCCATCAAATCTAGAATACGACCCGGAGTGGCAATTATAACTTGGACTTTTTGGTATATACGCATAATGTCATCTCTCAAATTTGTACCACCAGTTGTCACCATGACACGTACTTCTAAGTATTTTGCCAATTCAATACATATTTGTGACGTTTGTAGTGCTAATTCTCTTGTGGGCACTATGATTAATGCTTGAATGCAGTCTTTTTTTGGGTCAATTTGTTCCAGCACAGGGATACTATATGCACCAGTCTTTCCTACAAAAAAAAACAAGACCATTACTTTAAACAAGAATTATGGTTAGTTTGAGGTACCCATTGCCTGGTGGGTTCTATAACAATGCATTAAATCAATTAAATGTTGTACAAAACTTTATTTTGCATGTAATATTTTTTTAAAGAAACTTTTTGCAAATGCTGTTATACAGGGTGTTCCACATAAGCACAGACACAGAAAAGGGGCGTGTTGGGCACCCCAAAATATGATGATTTAACACATTTTACCTCTATACCAAGTTGTACCCCTAAAGAGTATATTAATATTAATCTGTTGTTTTATAATAAATTTTAAATGCACTGTTAGAAAAGTAATGTATGTGGAAAGTTTTTTATACTAAATTATGTCATTCTTTTAGTATAGTATTACAACAAACCAAGCTATTTGTGTTGCATATTTGTCCCCCCAATCTGAAATTAAATCTCAGATCAAGTCTACTAATATGCCAATTTAAAGTTTTTTTTTATCTTTAAAATTCTGATAGGTATGTATATATTTTAGTTACGAAATGTTTTATTTACCTGTTCCATTTTTCGCTCTAGCAAGTACATCTTTTCCTGAGAGAGCTATGGGAATTGAGGCCTCTTGTATGGGAGATGGTTTCTCCCAACCTTTCTCGAAAATTCCCATTAACAGCTCCCTTTTAAGACAGAATTCTTCAAATTCATTTCCTCTTGTGTCAGTCACATCCTAAAAAAAATTATGTTTTATAATTTCTTAATAATATGGTATTAAATTTGAGAGTATGCAGATTTTAATTCAGAAATGGAGTTATCATTTATTGGTAGAAATGAAGGGGAATCCAAATATCTCATCATATTGTTAGTTATTCTTTTATTTTAAGTATAATTACCAAAGATCCCATATAATTATAAGATTTTATCATTTACACCTACCAATATTTAATATGAAAGAATTAGAACATTAAATTTTCAACAAATGTGATAGTTTATTGTAATTTAGATCAAATGCTTCCTAAGTATTAGAGAAAGTAACTCAAAATTTAAATTTGTCAATTATTATGTTGTTAAAAATCGTAAATATGTGAACAATGGTTTTATTTGTTTTACTATAAAATTAAAACTTTGCAAGATTTGCTAATCGATCAGACAAATTTTAAGTGACAAATGAATAGAAATATAAAATATATTATGTTCCAGAATGCATAATGAATAATATCAATTTGACATTACAAATTAAACATGGATTTTATTTTCCTAAAAAATTTATTATTTTCTTATTGGAAATGCTGTTTTATAGACAGGATTAGTATTAAGGTACGATTTTGGCAACCAGTAATGATACTGCCAGGAGCAACCTTAAATAAATGGGATAAAACAAGTGTTGACTCACTTTAGTATTTTATATTATTACCGGGAATATTTAAGCACTTTAAATTATATTTATATTCTTATTAACTAAATAAATGAAGTCTGATATTTTCCAAGATATAAACAATCATAAATAATTTCGAAGCTTGCCCTTATTCAGCAAAACAGAAGTCGGAATTGATAGAGGATAGTTAAATATTAGGCATTCCAATAACCTGTCAAACAATAGCTGCCAGTGGAAAGGGCTTGTATAAGCGGTTTTTTTTAAAATAATATTTTCATTGTGTTCAACATACAATATTTTAATTTAATCAGTTATTTATGATTTCATGTGTTGTAGATAGAATACATTATGTCGCAACTCCTTAGATATACCAACCCTTCCCACTGACAGTTATTTTGTTTGAAATGCCTAATATCACAGATCAGGGACATAAAGATAGGAAACGCAACGACTGCGGCAACTATAGCGTGATCTATGCAAAACAGATGTTAACTAAAGGTACACACGTCGTTTGTAGATAGACAGTAGACATGGATAACAGTGGACAGTTTGTAAAAATAAATGTCAATCAGTTGAATGTATATCGTAGAATCCTGAATTTTAAATTTTGAGTTCATGAATGGTTTATATTGTAAGGTGGACTAAACGAAATGGTTGTGGTTATTTTTGTGTGGAATTTGAGGACAACTATATTTTGTAATATTACAATAAGGAGTCAGAGCACGTATTGCATTCGACAACACATGCCACATGAATAAATTTAACAATCCCAATATAGCATTCTTTAATTTGCCAAAGTAAAATCTAGCCAAGTAAGTAACACAAACAGTAACCAATTTTTGTCACAAAGTATTTATTTATTACTATTTATTGTTTTAGAGCAAGAAAATAGCTTCAAAACGTTAGAGTAAAGATTTGATATAGGAAGAAAAATATCTAAATTCCCATTATGAAGTTTGCAGTAAACATTATTAAAAATGAGACACCATTGGCCACTCATTTGGAAAAAAGGAACAATAATGTTAAAGTTACAAATATCAAAAATTAAAAAATATTAGTCATGAATAGATTTACAATAATTAATCGATAATAGACTGTAAGTTTAGTATTCTTTCTAATAAATAATTTACCGTAATTAACATTGTTTAAATGTATTTACCAGAACATAAAAGTGCATATTTACAACCTTTAGTATCAGTTAGTCATTTAGCATGTGCTTCTTATGAGCGTTTCCTATCTTTGTCCCTTATCTCTGCCTAATATGCTAAACTCTTTGACTATGTAATAGGATAGATTGGCTTTATAAGTAGAAATAGTTCGTATCAAGATTTTCTATGTGGTAAAACAGTACACAAAGGTCAAAGATAATAAAGTGAGGTAAAACTGGCCCCTGTTATTTATGTTATCAGATACAAGTTTAAAATTAAAATGGTATTTGAATAGATAAATTACTTGAACAAAAAGGGAGATATGTATCAATAATTTAACCAAAATTAATATAAACATAATTTTATATGGAATTCCAACAACTCCAAATTCTTAAATATTCTTAGAAATAAAAAAAATACATTTATAATTTTCTTATGACAGTAGCAAGTTGGTTGTCTAATAGTATAGTAAGGGCATGAATTTAATTTTTATTAAAAAAAATACTAAATTGACATGTACATGTTTCTTTAGTTAAAACGGTGATGTAGTCACTCAAAAAGAGTCTAAAAACCGTACATGTTATGTAAGGTCCTTCCCCAATTTACTAGATTAGTGGAGAAATCTTTATTAAAAGCAGTTCTTAATTAAAACAAAGACAAATCTGTAAGTAAAAATGAGCCAGGTGTGACATGTGAACACAAGCATTTAAATGTTTGGTTTCATTTTATTTATTTTCATAAGTGATAACCTATCATAGATAAGAGAACATAAGAAATATTTATCAATAAAAAAAAAAACAAACAGAAAATCACAATTTTTATTTATGGTCTGATAAGAGTTATTATAAACACTTCTCTTATCTCTATAATCTTGCATCTTTGTTTATACATTTACTAGATATATTAAAAAGAAAAAGGTAATATTAGATGCCTGTTTGATTTAATAATACAGGTCCATTCTGTTTAACCTTGCCATGAAACTTGCTACATTAACCATATTGTTACACCTATTAAGTTACAAATAAGGTCCATTCAATATTCTGTTTTGACTGTTAGATATAGTGATTGGTTATTAGTTTTGTTCATAGGAGATTGTTATGACTGAGATAAATTATACAAATCAGATTTGCCTAATAGGTTCAACCATTTTGAAAATACCACTTGATTGTAAGTTGTAACATTTGATAATCATTGTTCAAGAAAAAAAGTTTATTACCCATAGGTCTAAAAAGCAACAACTTTTCAGTTAGCAGTAGCAATTAATGAAAAATTGAATTAAGTTACTTTTTAAAATACATTGCTAAATACCAATGGTTTAAAATAATAGAAAGGCAAAGCAAATATTTATTTTTAGTAAATATCAATACCTTTGCTTTTTTCTTTTACCTAAGAAGCAATTTAGTTTTTTGAGATTAGCCTTTTAAATTGATTGAATTTATCTTTTTAGAAAATTATTGTAGAGGCAAAGGAAGAATAAGTAATGCAATCCTGCCCACAAAAGGGTAAAGTATGAACTGTAGGCAGAAGGCAGCTTGAGAGGATGGAGTTGTCGACTTTTTTCTTAATACTCTACTACTTTTATTCTCCTAATTTTTCAGGATATAGTTGGTTTTACAACCTAAGTACAAGGTTTCTACTTTAGACTTTTATGTTCATCACTTTGTTACCTTCTATATAAGTAAAGAAAAATCAATATATTGTGCATTGCATACATATGAGTTTAGTCACAAAAAGAACTAAAAAAAGGCAAAGCCTTGTAAATAAATGTTTTACGATTAATTTTTTTTTATTATTTATGTACCTATTATAGAAAGTATGAAATTAAGAAATGTATTTAATAAAGCTATTTCATTTTTATAATAAGTACTTAATGGTTTATTATATACATTATTTTTTTAGAATAAGCATGTATAAAATTAAAATGAAATAAATTATTTATTAAAATGCTAATAATTTGAGTCCTGCCCCAACACTTGGTTCATAATTAGGTATTCCACAACGGGAGGATTATTATTACAAATGTTATTGAAATGAATAAATTTGTCTAGTAAATAATAACATGCAAACTAGCAAGATCAAAGCACCTCATAAATAAGTTAAATATTTCAACATATTTTAGTAAAATCTAATGACAATTCTAATAAAACCCATTTAGCATACTCCTAAAGAATTTTGAAATGATATTCGCAAGAAAATGTACAATTAAAACTAAATTTTACTACTTACACTTGTCTGTATTCGTCGGTCTTTAGGTGGAATTTTCAGTTTGGCTTTCCATCCCAAGTCATCCATCTTATTGTCAAAATCTCTATGAAGAAAAGTGTAAAAATATTTCTAGATAACAGCAAAAAAACATTGAAAATGGCTAGAAGTTAAAAATACTTACACTGCACCAGGTAGTCCCAAGACATGATTATTCGATTTTAATGTTTCCGTCATCATTTGTGAATGTCGAATTTTTCGGAAAAAAGGGGTTTATAAAACCCAAAAATTCTACAATGTGTAGGATAAGACTTATAGTGTTCGTATAATTCTTATTCGCAGGTAGACTTGGATATCTGAAAGTATAAAAATAGGCTACTTCAGTTATTGTTTATTAGATGTTACTAAAAATAAATCATACCTGGCAATTGTCGATAATACAATAATATATCAATACATAATAATACATAATTTTCAAAAGCGAAAGAATAAAGTTCCAAGTAGACTTTATATAAAAGGATGTTCGAAATTAATATGGATTGATAAAATTGGTAAAACATTTAACAAAATGGCTACTCATATCTGGAACTTTCCTTTTTTTATGAAATAAACGAATGGCTACTATCAAAAATTTACCTGTATGTGCACTAGCAACCAGTAACTATCAATGTACTTTCAAAATATTGATACACTTCTATTTCAAAACTTTTATAAGAAATTTTTAACGATTTATAAATACCTCTGACCTCGGATACAAACGCTTTTACATTCGCAGATTCTCATTTAATAAAGAAGACTGAAATGAACAATTGAACAAATGAAGAGAAAAGAGAAGGCGAGAAAAGAAAAAGCCAATGACATAGGTACCATAACAAAAATACCAAATTCCCTAGAAATCCTTCTCTTTCCGTGGCATATTTACGCGAGTCAACGTTCACGTGATATTCACCCATAACGTTCACCTCGCCAAAACTTCAAAGGCAGTTTCACACCAGTGTTGTCAGGTCGACTGATTTTTCGGTATATCTACTGATTTGGCTATTGGTCTACTGATATATTGATATCAATGTGAATTTTACTGAAAAAGAACCCGTTTTCATTATTATTTTTTATTGGGGTCTATTCTGTAACAATTCCTTTATATTTAACGGCCTTTAAAAATATTTTCTTCTTTACTTCTATCATTATTTAAACGGCTCTTTAAAATACATTAGAGGACTATCTTAAAGAAATCTTTTTAAATAATGACAGAAGTACATTAACGAATACGAAAATATTTTTAAAGGCCGCCAATATTTTTAAAGGCCATTAAATATAAAGGAATTGTTACAGAATAGACCCCAATATTCGTTTTTTGTGATTTTTTCAAATTTCACATTATGATTAAAAAAAATTGAAGTCATAAAAAAATCACAGTAATACATGCGACTTGTGCACTCTTTGGACGAGCCCTGTCAGCCTTTTCGAACGCAACGTAGCGGGCAGCCAGCTGTTTTTTATAACTTTCCTGGGAATTTCTGGGAATCCCTGCCATTGCTTGTGTTGTGTTGTTCGTTGTTGTGTTTCGACTTCGACTTTCGAGTTACATTGGTAGATATACTGGGTACATACCATGCAGTGTAGGCTATGGTATGGTATATAAAAATTAAAAATTGTTGTGGATTTTTTGGCTGGTTTTTTGCTGTACAATCAACCAAAGAAATGAGCTTTCCACGGCGAGCATTGTTGGCAATTTTCATGTAAGAACTTAATTAAGGAGTAGAAATGATAACTGTCATGCTGTAAAGTTTTTAGATATTCTAGCGCCAATAATAGCATATACAAAAAAATGATAATGAGTTCACTGATTAGAATATTTTTTTTATTGTTTAATTTTTTTTATATTTATTTTTTATTTTCAATGATGTCCCATTTCTCAATAAACTATTTCTTAAATAGTACTTATTGGTGTTTGATTTTCTATTGTTAATATATTTTATGATTTGGATGTTAATTTGTATATAGTCTAACACCCAGACAACACACCAAATCCCAGAGATATCCACAGAATATCTTTTGTTGATATCCAATATATATATCCACAGGATATCAGAAATATTCCGTGGATATCCAAATGTCCGTCTATATCCAGAATATAGAAGATATCCTAATGGATATCCAGCAAAATATCTAATGGGTATCTTCCAGAAAATACAAGAAATCCCAGAGATATCCACAGAATATATTTTTTGTGGATATTCAATATATCCAATATGGATAGCCAACCAAATGTCCGTCTATATCCCAGGATATAGAAGATATTCGGATATTCAGCAAAATATTTTATCTTTAGTAAAGGTTCATAAGTATCCAATGATTATTGAATAACGTCGAAAGAAAATAGCAGAGATAAAAAATATTTTCAACACTCTGCCTTTGATTTTGCCCACTATAAGGAGAAAGTCATCCTCATTAGAACTCTTTAGCAATAAATGGAAATTCTCGACTCCAGTCTCTAATGGAGTCTGATTGGGACACAAATTTCGATCGAACTCAATTACGACGGGTCGAGCATGAGTAGATGCGAAAGTGGTATCGCCATCTATACTTAGTAAGCAAAATCAAATAACATCTAGTGGATATCCACGATGGTTTGCGTTCGCGCCTAGACTTTGATATATTTAGTGGATGTCCATGGGATATTGAATACACCTTAAAAAAATTAATTTTAAATATCTGAACGGTACTATTAGCCACAATGGCGTAATTTTTTAATAATTTGCTATATAATTACTATTATTTATGGACATTTGCATGTCTATAAATTACATCTCATGGATATAAAATATATATCCACCATGGACTGGACATTCAGTGGATATTGGGATGTTCAGTAGATATCCAAAGGATTTGGTGTGTCTGGGAATTCTAATCAAAACAGTGTAAAATACGTATAATTAAGATTTACGCTAATAGGAAGAGAAGCCACTGCAAAGTTTAAAAAAAAATTCCCTTTTATTAGGCAACTCATTTGGCTACTGATTTCTACTGAATTTTAGACACAGTATACTGAAAGAAAATATGACCTGACAACACTGTTTCGCACTGAACTGTAACCGATATTTTTCTATGACCGTTACAATGGAACCAGAAACAAGAACGTTATTTCCATGCTTTCCCGCACAACGTCACAGCCGGGTTGATACTCATGCGCAGTAAATAGCTGTCCAGGTCCGACTTTATTTATTAACTTAATTTATAAATATATATATTTATAATATATAAATAATTTATAAAATGTCTGAAAATAGATACCTAACTGTTTCAAATCTGAATTTTTGTTTTGTCAAATTTTGCTTGAATATTATTTAACGATTTGTAATAAAACAGCGCCTTCCACCATCGTGTTTGTACTATAAGATGTTAAATAATGATACTAATAATGAATTCATATATGTATGTCATTTTTTGTTTCTATCCTCCATTCGACGGTGCATGGATGGCTGAAAATTTTCGCGTGCATGTATTTTTACTAGCGTTCCAATATAATATAGTTCGTCATTAGCACTAAATAAGAATTATACAAGGTGTCCCATTAGGGCGTAATTGTTCAGTATTTCAATTAGTGTTATAGAGACGCAAAAAAGTTTCAAATAAAAGTTATATGAATTTGAAAAATACATGTTTCAAAAATATTTTTGGATGTTTTTGTCTGCCAAATAAAAGTTGTTTTTTTAACTAGAACACTATGTATTTTTGGTTAAATTCTACAATTTCACCAGTAAAAACATCAACAAATTAATATTTTACATCTACTAAATAAATAAACAATTCTCAAATAGTTCGACTGCTTTTTACCCTAATATAATGTGAAGTCATAAAACTATAAATAGCATTTTTCTCAGAATACCGAACGCCGAACACCTGTGTTTTCAGGTGCACAGCGGTGCATTGGAACAAAATGAGTGTCCGGCGCATAGTGAACGAAGCACAAATGACGTATTTCATTATGTCATGATGACATATTAGGGCGAGCTCGACGCGAACGGCATTCAGTAGTTGTATGTTTGCCATCATTCAGTAGTTGTCTTATTGCCACCAACGATTCAGTTGTCTTTTTGCCATCATCGCTCACAGTTGTCTTTGCCAGGTGCTTTCTGCCGACGGCACGTTACTTTCTACATTTTTACAAGCGTTTAATGCATTTTATTTTCTGGTGAAAGTTATATCTTCTACAATTATTATGGCACAAGAAATTCTACAAACAAATGTTTTCAAGTTGGTAACTAAAAATTCAACTGTATTAGTTAATCAAATTGTGATGAACTAAAATTATAAATATTTAAAAGTGTTTAGTGAAGATAAGAAAATTATTATATCTAAATGGAATCAACCACTATGTATTTACTTCAGTGAAAATAGTAAATTAAAAACGCTTCTTTTTCTACTACCTATGACTCCTTAGTTATTTCTACAAAAGAACCCAATTCTTCTAACACCAGCGACATATGCTACAGAACATTTTTACCAAAGAAATATTCGGAAGTAACACCGGTATTTTTTCAATTTTATTTTATTTTTAGAATGGTTTGGTAATACTGTATTCAACACTAGAATGTTTTTAAAAAATATTATAGTGTTTTTTTGTTGAAATTAGGGAATGTTGCAGACCCCAAATTAAATTATCATATTTAGGTAGGTTAACATCGATTTCAAAATTGTTTAATATACGGACTTATATAAGATACTAAGCTAACGAATAGTGGTGATTGAACTCGTTTATTTTATACAGTGTTTTGAAACATGTCCAATTTTAAGATCAATTTACTCAATTTTTCAAGTGCAACACCCTGTATATTATTTTAGCATAAAATTCCTTATAAATTTACCTATCCAACGATACCAACATGTTAGCCAATAACACGCATACAGAGTGTCCCATCAGAACGTAATTGATCGATAGCTGTTTTATTATTGGAAATACGAAAAAACAAAATAATATAAAAGTCGTATGACTATGTTTAATAAATATTCTTAAATATACAAAGTGGTCCATAAATGAGGGGCTGACCAAACTTATACATTTTTAAATAAATATTTGATTGTATTCAGATCGTCAAACAATTTTATTAGACTTTATTTATTTGCTATCTTGCATGTAGAGTTCAAAATGCGGGGTAACGATTTGTCTGAATTTTTTAAATGCAATATAGGGTATGTTACACCAATTAATTAATACAGGGTATTCCATTTAAAAAATTGAGAAAATCGTAACCTCATGCTTTGACACACCCTATATATAATAAAACATAGCAAATGAGTGAAGTCAATGCCGATGTGAAGTGTAGATTTGGTCAGCACCTCGTTTATGGAACACTTGTATATTTAAGAATAATTGTTATGTTCATACAACTTTTGTATTAAAAATTTGTTCGTATTTTTAATAATTAATAAAAGAGCACACCACCCTGTATATTTTTAAAACATATATTTTTCAAAACCATATAAATTTATTTGAAACTTTTTTGCGTGTCTATAACACATTGAAATATTGAAAAATTACGCACTATATATAGAACTGAATAGATTTTGGGCATAGTCGGAGCATCTGGGGTTTACTTTAGGGGTGTTTTTCATACCCATGTGATACCTATATCTACATGAATTCACTAAAATTGACCGTAATATAAAAATTTGGGGTAAAGTGTAAAAATTGATATTTTCAGTATTTTCGTTAAAATGGGCGTGTTTTAAACACTGTTCGATTAGATTAAAAGGGTCGTACTCAATATATTTGATAACTCTGCAGGAAGGTCCATGAGTTGGACACATCAGGTATTTTAACTAATAAAAGAAATCACAAAAAATATAAGTATATTTTTATAAAAAAAAAAAAATTAAATCTTAAGATAAAAATTCAGCGGCTTCAAAAAAACTAGGTGGACGTAATTTATATAGCGGTTATCTTATATGGCATCTATTTCTATATAGAGTAAGGTGTATTTACAGGGGTTGGCATTAGAAAGAGAAAACTAGTAGAATTAAAGTGATTTGAATTATTATAGTATAAAATGGATACACAATTAATGATTTTATATTTATTATGGGTGTAGTAATAATAAGGATTACTTATATATTACATATAAGGAAAGGTAAATATTTTAATTATAGGTTCGGTACCT